CCCTGTCCATAAAAGCTGTACATTTGGAGCGCTGCTGGATGTGTTGGCATCAGAATAACGCTGGACACATAATGTAGTGCCCAGTTACCGTTCAAAAGCCTTTATGCAAAAACGAATGGGATATGAAAGTCTGGCTCCTTTTTCCTCCCATCCTCCGAAACAGACTCCAATGGCTGTCTTGCAAAGCTTGTTAATAAGTGATCCCCCGTAACACGTTTGGGAAGCAATAACAAGCAATGCTGTTCGTTTTAGCTAGCTCTGGGTATTGTACTGCCCAGTTGGGATCTTATCTGGTTGGGTTTAACCACTTCTGTGCTTGCCCGTTTCTCAAACTATATGAGAATTTATTTTTCAAGACAATTGCCTCTGGCAGTAGATACAAAAACTTTCACCTCCTCTGCAGTCACCATTGTTCGATGTGGGAGATGGGGCGCAGGGGGAGAGGACGAGAAGGAATGAATTCCAGAGGCATTATTGGTTTGGAAATCTCATAAAACTCTGAAATTTGGTGCATGTCAACTATTTGCAGGCAGTATCCTCGCCTTTTGTTGCAAGGATGGGGTGTGTTTGAATGTGGGGTAGGTTCTCTCGATTTTTCACTGGGTATTGTGCATTTTGCCTCTTTGCTTTGGTTCTTTGGGGGCTGTCCCTGCTGAGTGCCGGGCACTAACAGAGCCGAGGTACGGGGGCAGCGTTAGCCTTTGCCATTGTTTCTGTTATGATTTAGCTTTCAGAATGATCAGGGCACCTCTACCAACTGTGTGACTGACAAGTCCAGCGAAAGACTGCCCTATCTAATTGCTTTCATTACTTCTAACTTTCACCATATCAGCCAATATGAGCAGTAAGAGACAAGGTTAGCAGAGTAATGATACAAATCGCCCTGCTCTGAGCCTCACTGCAGCATGACAGTCTAATATTTTCAATGGCGTTGCAGAGCAAGCCACACCATGCATGGAATACAATCGATCTGGACAACTTTGACCTTCTAATGTTTCCAAATTTTAATCTAATAACTCACTTTTCTGTGTGTGATACGTGAAAAATGTAAAAACAAGGGTGTTATAAAAGTGCGAATTTTTTATAGGAAAATGCATTTTTAATGGTAGCCATTTAACTGATCCACGTTTTAACTAGACAAGTACATATAGGGGAAAGAAATACACAGTCCATCGCTGGATATGAAAATCTACTTTAGCAGTCACTAGCTCTATTCGATACCTTGAAAAAGCACAAAACTACTTCAAAGTACACCCCCCGGCCATCTGCAGTAGTTAGTAAGTAAAAAGTATATTTACTTAGGTAAAACAAAAAGCATTTGCAGTACTACTGCGTTCTGAAAATAAAATTGCTGCTGAAAATCTTTTAAATGGGATTGAACTTTTAGACAGAAAGACAATTGGAAAATAATGTAACTCAAATTTCCTTAGTCAGGTATCGACCACCTCTTTCCCCTCCATTCTGTAACCCAGAGTTGTTCCTTTGCCGGGATTATTGTCAGGGCATAGTCAGTTTCAGTTATTGTTTTGTGTAGCTTGGTTCATCTCCTGCTTTGGAGTTTGTCTGAGGAATTCTCTTCACCTCCCTGCCTGTTTGGAAATATTCACTGTATAAATGCCTCTGCTAAAGATCATTTTAACAAATGGAAATGTTAAAGTGTCATCGCACTGTGACAGTAAGGCATGTTTGATACACTGGACAGGGAATGTTTATTTCAAGATATTTTAAGTTCTAGTCAATAACTTGGATCCGCCCGGGAGCGAAATATTTGACGTGCAACACCTTGAACACGTTTAATTATGGGGTAGTAGCAAGCCAGGGCTTCAAAGTAATTAGAAAATACTTCTTGGGAGACAGACTAATCGCTTTTCATGGGGCACTTCAAAAAAAATTAACCCCTGGTGCTTGTTTGAGCAAAAACAACTTTAGGTCAGCAAGACCTGATCTCATTGCTGGATCCTCTGGACGATCCAAAAGAGATTCGCGGCGTCCTTTCCCTCCAGACTCGCAAAGACACATTTGAATTACCCTCCACCCAAACCAACAATAACAAAACCCTTCGCAATACTTTCAGTGTGAGAGTTTGGGTGACACAAAAGCAATGTACAAACGAATGATCTTATAAGTGGGGACCTGCATAGGCGAGGAACTGACCGTCTCTGTGGTCCTGCGGACTGAAAGGGGAATGAAAATCCAGGAGTTGGTTGCCCAGATTTGTGACTAGAGGCTCCAGAATTTCGCTCGATACGGGTTTCCTACAAACAAGACTAGATTGTGCTCTGTGCAGTTACTGAGCAGACAGACGTGTGCTTTCACCCTCCTGGTTTTTAGCCCATCTTGGCATTCCCCATTTGACTCCAGCTGTCCAGCACTAAAGATAGCCCATAATTACCAGTGCTAAGTCAATATAACATCATCATCACCTTCACCATGCGTGGGTACCACACACTACTCTGTGTGGGCTTGCTTCGGGTCCTCCCCTGTTGGGAAATCTAATTAATTTGAGGTGGGGTTTTTTGTTCCGTTTTAGCTCAGACAATTGCAGCTCGCTCTCTCCTTGCACCTGAGAAAACGGTGCCGCAAAGAACAAGGCAACAGCAAAAGTTGGAACCTGGTGGGTAAAGCGAGGGCTCAGGAACCAGCCCGGGGGGAGGGAATTGGCTCTGCCGCCTCCGGCAACTTTCCTGGTCTCCCAGCTCTTCCTCCCTTATATCCGCGCGCTCTCCTCCCAGCCTCCCTGCACTTCTGTCGGCCTCCCAGACCTCTGCCTTCCTGCCCGTGCAAGCTTCTCGGCTTCTCGGCTCCTCTCCGGAGCAGGGGAGGGGAGACGTGCTGCGGGGGCGAGGCGAGAGGACCGTCTAGCTTTGCAACCCCGGGAAGGGCCGGAGCTGCCTCCTGATTGTCTGTGTTTTGGCCCCTCGCCTTCATTTTGTCTTTGGCGCTGGCTGGCTCTGGTGCCCGCCGATCACAACACTTTTTTGGCATCGCCTCTCTCCATTCTCCCCCCCCCCCCTTCCAGGGTGTGTGTTATTAAAGCGGCACTAACTCTCCTGCGCTTCATTGACCTTTTGGTGACTTTCACAAATTCAAGACCAGCCAAGCAAAGATCCCGCGGATCGCAGCTGATTATTTTTGTTTTGTCTGTGGGCAGATTGTTTAGGGCGGTGGGCAGGAAAATTCTTAGCAACAAAAGAATGAGATTTTTGGTAAAGCCAATAGGAAGGTAGGGAGTGGGGGGTGGGGGTGGGTAGAGAGACCCACTTTGAAACTACACGTGAGACCCCTTCAAAATTACGTAATCCCCCCTTTCCAACCCAGATAGACTTTGATCCCAATTTTTGGTTTCACGGGATTTCTTTCTAAAGACAAAGGCAAGCAAATGGACATCGCGGCAGCTTTTCAATACGAAAAATTAGCATTTGATCATTTTGATGAAGAAAAAACTTCGGGGGTGGGTGGGGCCCAGGGGCAGAATCGCGTCGCATTGCCTGTCCATGGGAAACCTCTCTGTTTAATATTGTTTCTGAAGCTGGAATAAATGATCAAAGGCTTCTGTCCAGCTTTCAACAGAACGAGTCAATTATCATCCCCACTTCTGTTTATTTCCCTGACGCCGCAACCAGCACCACCACCTCGAACATTAGAAAAAGAAGCCACCTTGTCTCCCTGTTATATTTGCACTGGTCTTCTGCAGGGTGTATTTCAGAATCAGGGGAAACGGAGGAGGGGAGAGAGTAGGGAGAGTACGAAAGAGTTGTTCTAAAATTAACTGCATCTGATTTTCCCCCCTTGCAAATAAAGGGGCTGCAGAAAAAATCCCTTTGTATCACACAGCAGCTCGTTTAATATTATTTATGCATTTGTGCAAGGAATTGTGGGATTTCCCACTTCTCCCTCCCCCCCCCCCATGGTAAACAATATGGAAATAAAAAAAATTGTATACTGGAGGCTTTTCTAATGAATCAGACAAAGATATAAAGCGAAAGAGATCAGCAGGGCAAGTGGTGATGTATCTATCTGTTGTTTAGGGGGTTAGCTAGTTCTGCATTCTCTCTCCTTTAAAAAACACACACACACTAGAGTAGAGAGGACACTATTGCTTTAAAAGAAGGGGGAGGGGGCAGATAGAGGGAAAGGGGGGGGCTACTGCTGTCATTTACTAGAGTGCTACTGTATCACGTGTGGAAATGCCTCCTCTGCCATTGGCCAAAGGCACGTGTCTAGGATACCGGGCTTGCAACGTCACTTGAGGGGCTCTATTAAAAATAAGAACAAAAATCCAGAGTGAAAGTATTGCAGGTTCAGTTTAAGTGGCTTCTAAATTTATACCCAAACTATAGCGAGACCGAGAGAGATTTTTCCTAACTCCTGCCACGTAACCTGGAATATTTTATTCCGAGAGGGGAAAAGAGAGAGAGCTGCCGTGCTTGTACATATGTCTCTGTGTGTCTCAGCCTGCGTGTGCGGTGCGGTGTGTAGAGAGAAATATACACCCTCTTCTAGAGTCTCTCTCTCAAAGCAGATGTGGCAGCATTGACATTTTTATTCTTCTTTTTATTTTTCCCCTTGAAGGATCTTCACAATTTTTTTTAGGATACTGTTGGCCTCTTTTTTTCTTTTAAAACCCAGGAGCTGGAGAAGAGAGAGAGAGAGAAAGAGAGAGAGCGGGGGTGGGGGGGGCAGAAAGGGTTGTTAATGAAAGTCCTAATGATGAACACATTTTGGGGGAAATAATGCATTGGTTTGCAGAACTGAAAGGCTGACAAGCGGAAGAAAGAAAAGAAAAAGTAAAGAAGGGGGATTTAAAAACAACGTTTTGGGGAAAGTTCGAGCACCCCCGAGGCTCTGATTTCGCCAACTCTGGATTTTGAATGTTATTGGAACTGAGTGGAGCCAGGGAACAAACAAACACACGTTGTATCAAACCCACTCGCTCTCGCACGAACAGGGCTGGGGGTGGGGGCTTCACAAGAGAAACATTTGGGGATTTGTTCTGCAGCATGGAGGAGAATGACCACAGTCCTAGGGAAGAAGCACTGGAGCAGCAGCAGCAGGAGTGCAGCAGCAGCAGCAGCGATGCGGAGCCCAACAGGAGCCGGGCAATGATCCTGCCCGTGGTTCTGCAGGCGCCGGGGAATCACCAGCACCCGCACCGGATCACGAACTTTTTCATAGACAACATCCTGAGGCCGGAGTTCGGGCGGAGGAAGGAAGGGGGGACCGGCAGCAGCGGAGGCAGCAGCGGCAGCAGCCCGGAGCAGCTGCTCTTAGCCGGCAGGGAGAACCGACGGAGTCCCTCTACGGCGCCGGGATCTGGGGGGCAACTCACCGGCGGAGGGGGAGGCTCCCCGGGCGAAGGAGAAGGAGGCTCCAAAGCCCTTGCTCTCAATGGGGGAGCCAAGAAAGGAGGCAACTCCGGGGCCCTGGAAGGAGCCTTGAAATCCCGGGGGCTAAGCGGCGGCGATCTGTCTGTGAGCTCGGACTCTGATAGCTCCCAAGCCAGCTCCAACACCAGTAACCAGCCCATGCTCTGGCCAGCCTGGGTTTACTGTACTAGATACTCGGACAGGCCTTCTTCAGGTAAGACTTCTCTTCAGGCGTAGCCTAGCCCGGCCTCCCCTTCCCCTCACCCCCTGGCCCCACTTCCCATTTCACAGGCTGGTTTCCACCAAGCCCCTCTCCCTCTCTCTATATCAACCAACCATTGACTCAGTGAAGCCTAAGCTGATCTTTCCACATGGTTCTTCAGAAAATATTTGGTTGGTTGAAAAGCGACGAGAAAAAAATATTGTCACCCAAATTGGAAAAAAAAACAAAAACGCAGAGAAACAAGTTTTAAAAAAATGTATTTAAATGTAATGAGGATATGGGGATGCTTTTACTATAGGCAGATGAAAATGAAAGCGGATAAACTGGAAAATAATTCCTCCTGTCTACACACACACACACACACACACACACACACAAAGCGATCAGCAGTTAGCTTAGCTAGCTCTTAAAACAGAGAGGGACGGTGCTAGTGTGAGGATTTGGGTTTTGGCATGGTATTAAAAAGAAAAGGTGGGAAAGAAGCCATTAAAGCCCATTCTTTGAACTCCACGGAGATCCTCCAAGGAATCTGCCCATCTTCTCCTTTCGAGTAAAATCCCGGGGTTTGTTTGGAGGGTGAGGAGTGGAATTCATATATCCAGCTGCCTATCCAATAGGCCTTGCATTGTACATTTGCAAAATCCAACTATTTTTATTGTTTTAAAATAGGCCCTTAACTCGCCCTTGTCTCCTTTCTCTATTTTGCTTTCTGTAATTTTCACACGTGTACTTTAGTTCAGATCTTTATGGGAATAGGAAAGATTTCCAGAGGATGAGAAAGTTATTTCAGAGGATCTGGGAAGGCTTGCCTGCTGGAGTGAGATTTCAGAAGAAACTCCAGAAATTCTCTCTCTGAAGAGGTTTAAAACCCACAGGGCGAATTTCATTGTTTTAATGCAGGAAAAGCAGGAGTGGATCTAGGGTTTTTTATTTTTTTTTAACCTTCATTCAAAAGAATTAGAAACCTCATTAAAATACAGTTGTCTAGGCTGTAAAACAGAATTTTTAAAAAAATATATTCACAAAAAAAGTATTTTCCAACAGCGATTAGCCAGTCCCTTCCCCAACCCCCACCCCGAACTGCTGTACAGTTGAACATAGGAATGCAGGTTGGATTTAAAAATAGTTTGTAATAAATGAGAACTAACTCTTTAGCTCCAATATTCCAGTCTGAATTGAAATTTACTCCATTGTTCTCCACTCCTCTCCTTTGTTAATATTTAATTAACATATATCCTCACAATGGCACAGGCCAGAGAGAGAACCCTCGCTGGTGGTGTGTAGAATAATATTAAAGAGAATAAATAAAATAAAATAATAATAATTAGGATCGTACTTTACGCGACATTTTGAGCCATGCAAAACGCCAACCCACTCCCTGTTACGATGTAAATAAACGTTTGGATTTCTGTATTATCTCGATGTAATGTAAAAAAGAGGGTTTCTTAACAATTCTGTTTAGGGGATAAAATATAGATATATGTTATTGCTTCTAGATACACGTTTCACCTTCCAGTAGCGAAGCCATTCCTGGGTTTAAAATACTTAATTTAACGCGTTTGTATTTTTAAAAATCCCAAAGAAATTGTATCCTTTGCAAGACACTTTTTTCTGAAGATGTGTTTTGGGTAAATATATATAGAGAGAGGCTACTGGGGACACTTATGAAAGGGGAGAGAATTACACCATAGCCCCGGACACTTTAAGTTTCCTAGACAATGATACAGACAGAGAAAAGAGGTGAGATCGAGAATCCTTAGCAAAACTAGAGAGCTGGGTGGTTCTTTTTACAGTATTTGTTTCTTTTTATTTCGAGCACAATGCCAGGGTCGATTTGAAGCAAAGAGAAAGGGACAAAGATTGTGTTGTTTTTTTTAAAGATGAAGATTATTTCTAACCAACGCCTTTGGAGCTGGGCTGGTTGTTTATGGAAACGTGGCACTAAACTAGAAAAAACAAACCTGCCCCATAGGCGTAGAGGCAGAAATATGTAAATTAAAAAAAATCACAATACACCAGCAACCTAGGAATTATTGATGTAAGAATCCCCGTTACAAACAGGGCTCGATTTTCATTTTTAATACCTTGTGGGTAAAAATTAGGGCTTTTAAATAGATGTATATAAAATAGAATGGGAGGCTGCGGAGGGGGAATTGTAATTAGGAAGATGGTTGACACTTTCCCAAGCATTTGTGGTCATTATGTGGCCTATTTGCACTGTATATTACATCTACTAAAGCTGGGAACTAATCAAGCCCAGTGTATTCCCATTTTCTCTTGTGCAGGATAGATCCACTTCCTGGCTGGCTTTGTCAGTCATATTTCAGCCTGTGGCAGAACCCGTCTTCCGCCCTTTGATTGACTTGTCACCAGCCAGAAGCCTTTTTTCTTATTGCTTTAAACCCGCGGGTTTAGGTGCCGTTTACAGTTTGCTAACTGCGGTGATGCTCACGTGTCCCTGTGCTTTTAGGGATCTGACTTTTACAGACACCATATGGATGCCAAAAATTAGGATCATGTGTAAAATTTCAACTGACCTGGTCACCTCTTGGAGAGGGGTGTCAGGAAGCTCGCGTGGGCCGAGCAGAGAGTCCCCAGGGCCTTCCTGCAAAGTGTAACACAAAATCAAGGGGGGGGGGGGGGCAGAGAGGGAAAGAGAGCCAGAGATCGCTGAAGCTGGGTTTGCTTCTCCCCTTGCCAAAATATCCACTCACATACCCAATTCTCCACAGCTTAGAGGCCATCCACAGTAGCATCCCCCCAAGGAACGACTTCCAGAAATGGAGCTGGCAAATACACACCAGCATTACCCTGCAGCTTCCCACAACCCGCCCCAGCCCCACAGCCTCCCCCCCAGGGATGCGGACTGGGTCCTTCTTTGTGGGGCGTTCCAGCGGCGGCCCCACGCAGGGGAGAGTTTAAGTCCCAAAGATGGTGGTTAAAAAGGAAACAATGAACTTGGGTGGATGTGACTCCCGTGTCTCATGCAATAGCCCAGCTGTGGAAAGTGGCTTTTGTAGAGGTGTTTAGGCCTGTGTCCGCCTCCCTCCTGCCCCCGCTCCCTTCTTTTCCCTTTTGCAAGAGGCTCTGGGGCCCCAGGCAGCAGCTCCCCTTTGGCCACCAGACTGCAGACCCCGAATTCCTCTTGCTCGCCACGCACACCGCAGACTCATGTCTGCCCCACTGGCCCCCGCCCCAGGCATTCAGGGAGAGGGGGGGGAGGGGAGATCGCTCTCTCTCTCTCCTCGCAAGGGTTGATCTAGTGACTTCAGGGTGAAACTCTCTCGCCAAAGCAACGCGAAAAGAGGCTAGCAAGGCCTTCATGTCATTCCGTGTCCGGAGCTCCTGGCTGGGCACAGAGTACCAAGTGGCACCCATACTAATGACCTCAAGTCCTCAAATTTCTTTGAGATCGTTTCTCCCGCCCCTCCCCGCCCAATAATCATAAGATGTTGCCATTTCAAACCAACCAACCAACCTCTCACTCCCGGACACCCTTTCCAGCCCCCCCGGCCCCATCACTTCTCTTGTGTGTGTTTCTTATGATTTTTCTTTCGCCCTGGACCTCAGGCCCCCGGTCTCGTAAACCAAAGAAGAAGAATCCCAACAAAGAAGACAAGCGTCCCAGGACAGCCTTCACTGCGGAGCAGCTGCAGAGACTGAAAGCGGAGTTTCAGACGAACAGATACTTGACGGAGCAGAGGAGGCAGAGCCTGGCTCAGGAACTCAGCCTCAACGAGTCTCAGATCAAAATCTGGTTTCAGAACAAACGAGCCAAAATCAAGAAAGCCACTGGCAACAAGAACACCCTGGCGGTGCATCTCATGGCACAAGGACTGTACAACCACTCCACCACATCAAAAGACGGCAAGTCAGACAGTGAATAGAAAGGGGGCCGGGGGAAGGCCGGGGAAGGGGGCAGTTTTCAGTCAAAGTTTATACAATGCAATAATTTAATTAAAAAAAAATAAGGGCCAGTGTATAAAGATTATACCAGCATTAATAGTGAAAATATTGTGTATTAGATATAATTCTGCAATATTCTATGTGTATATAATTTACAGGTAAGGTGTAAAAATCCAAAATATCTGATTATAAAATATTTTTGATTTTGTTTTGTTTTATTTTGGTTCTATGGAGATTTTAGATGGTATCTTTATGAATTTTTTTAATGCTTAAGTTACATTTTTATAGACTTAAGCGCTGTTTTAATGGACATTGGACACTGTTTTTTGAAATTCAAAAAAAATTAAAAACAATTTTTGCTGAAGTCCAAAGATTTTTATTGCTGCATTTCACACGACTGTGAACCGAATAAATAGTTCTCCGGTTTGTTCGATGAGTTTTACCATTATTATTTTTTTGTGTTTGGCTTCGGGGATAGAAAACAATGATTTAATTTAAAAAAATGTAACAGGGAAAGAAACCCCAAGGCATTGTATTAACAAAAATGTCCAGGATCCTTTCTTTAATTTGCCCTCACTTCTTCATTCGGTTGGGCTCAATCAAAGGCTAGAGGGTGTACATGACTCTGAGAAAGCTGGCCAGCAAGGGATGGGGGCGATCAAGGAGTTCATTTGGCGCTTAGTTGATTTTTTCCCTTCCTCATGGCTTGGTTGGAAAACTTTTGAAGTAAACATCACAACTTCCGGGAGAATGTCATAGGAAGCGAACAAACAATAACACCCTTTTCCATATGAAGGAAACTTTTCTTTTGGGTCTTTGCCGTGCGTGTGTGCGTGCATTATTAGACAATAACACACTCATCTATACAAACCTGCACAGATCCCTTTTCCCGTTAGTTCATCGCATTTTGTAGCTTAGACGCTTCTTCTCTTGCCCCCTGGAAGGCGTTGTCCTTTAGCTGGCAGGCGGCAAGTAGCCTAGGATGCCTTTTGCAAAAGGCTCTGGTTTGCCTTGGACAAATCTACACCAGACCGCAGTGCAGAGCTGCTGGTATTTGAAGCTGGGGGGGTTCTGAGCGCCGGCTTCCCAAGGACAGCACGGAGTTGCAGAATGTTTGGGGAGAAACAGGTTCTCGTCAAAATCTGACTGAGAACCGGTGGTCTTCCGGTGGTATAAATTAGTAGACGTATCTTTAAGATCTCCTGCTTGTCTCACTGCTGTGTATACAGGAAACTGATTGCAAAAATACTTGTCATGGCTATTGGATAAAGAACGTATACAACTTATTGGGTGAAAAACTGGTAAACCCATCAACTTTGGCTCTTAATTGAAAAAAAAATCAGACTGAACAATGGCTATATAAAAAAATGCATCCAGAAAGCCTCTTCCTGTCCCATTGCCTCCACACAGGCAGTTTTGGTCCAGGAAAACACCAGATCAAGAGGGGCTGTGGGAAAGGAGAATTGGGGCACTTATTTCAGCACCACCGACCTCTATTATGCAGGATGAGTAACCCATAAGAAGGGAGGGGATCTCTCATGTCCTGTTTTGGTCAGAAAGACAGAGGAGCCCATCACAAGCAGTGGTATTTTATTTTAGAAAAATCAGTAGCCTAATATTATCCAGTGACAAATATCTGTCGGTCTAGAATATGGGGCAGGTTTTAAATCAAACATATCTATTAAACTGAATAGTAATATAAAGGGACAGTCAGTGTAAATAAACATTTCTTAGCATTTGGGTTTTGGTTTGTTTATTTCCCCCCTGGCAATTCTAGTTTCTGATTTGAAAACGTGTCACCGTGTAAACTAAACATTTTCAAGATTTGTAGCGTTCTTTTAATAGTTCTCCCAGTTCTAGATTCTTCCCCCCCCCCCCCCCGGTTTGGAATAAAGTGTCCAAAATGTTGGCCAGGGCCACAAGGCACCCCGAGTGGGTGTGTATTGTACAATAATTCAGGACTATAGTCTCCTTGATGATTGAGGGTGAACTTATCGCTTTGCCTTAAAACTTCTTTATTTCACAGCTATAATAGACACACATTGTACATATTAGTATAAACTTTAAAAAAGAAGCAAACTATAAAATAAAAGCTGTAATTTTAAATTCTGTGAATAATCATCAGCTGCTTAGGAGACAGGATTAAATGACATTGCCTTTTAGCAAGAAAGCAAAGATTTTTTTTCAGTTTATAAAACGTGCATTTTACAATTGCAGTATCAAATATTTATAATCTTATGAAATATGAATGTTTCTATTTACAACTGTGGTCTCAAAATTGTGAACATTCTCACTGCATTTTGTGTGTTTAAATTCTTGAAGATTGCATTAAATAAAAACACTTTATTATGAAATACACAACGTGTGACTTAAAACGTTGGAATGGTGTTTTATATATATATTATATAGAGAGAGAAAGTCCTTAAAGTGTATTTCTGGGTAATGAGAGAATTGTACTGGAGTCCAGTTTAAAAGTACTAAGTGGAGTAAACCATTTCTATGGGTGTGAATAGCAATTTACTAGATGGACAATTTTGCAAGCAGACGTTCAATCAATTTCTTGAATAATTAAGAAACTTTTGATGATTCACATTAAAAATAAAGTCAGGGCAACCAACATCATTAAAATGATCACAACTTTAAAGTGTTCAGTATTCGTTAAAAAAACCCCGTATTTAATCGCATACATTGTCAACAGGTTTCTATTTTCAGACTTTAAGATAAATATCCAGTTGTGTGATGTTTGGAAAACAACTCTTGTAAAAGATGTTCCCGACCTAAAATTATACAAACTCGTAAACCTGAATCCAGCTGTAGTAATGTAATGTAAGTAATGACAATAACTCTAATGTCTTAATTTTTTAAAGAATTGATAACACTGTTAACCTTGAAAGTTGCAGTAAAGGTAGTACGATTTTAAGACAGCTGAATAAGACGGGTAAACAAAGTGGCCATTTGCTGAGATGCAACAGTATGCACAATTTCTCCAAATATTTAAGCCTATATTTTTCTTAAATAGGGCTAATTTAGGGGGAAAGGGTTTAATATCCAGAATCTTGTTATCAGAACTGGTTCCTGCTGTAAGAAATTTAACACAAACTTTTTTTTTTTAGAAATGGATAATGTGGAAAATATCTCCCAGAGGCAAATATCTCCATTGATTTAGACAACGTCTAAGAAAGAAATTATTCCAGTATTCCACAAGTCTTGTTAATACTTTTAGCCACCTACAGTCAGTAAAGGTTTGAACTGTCTATGGACAACTAATTAATTGTAACAGAAGGAGAGATTGTAAAGCTTTCAGTTAGGAAGCAGGATTCTGGATTTAGATTTTGCAAAACTTCTTGCACGTGTCTTTGAAAGGGTTTTTTTTATCAAACTAAGCATTGAGGCAGATGAATTACAAACTTGGGGGAGAAAGTAAGTGTTGGCTGGAATTAAGAATTGCTACTAAAGAGCAGTTTAGATCTGAAATGAAAATAGCTGCATTTGTCCAATTTAACAAAGGAGTAATGTGTCTGTTATATATCCTCTACAAAGGGCCAGTTACACCAGGGCATTACTAACGAAGTCAGTGAGGCTGCATTAGAAGAGGATTTGGCTCATCTTATAACTGTGTAAAAGGACACACTTTACACCTGTCTTACACACTAGCTCGCATATCAGGCGATAAATTGTGCCACCAATGATCTCTTTAGAGGATACATTCACGAAACTGCCAGTCACAGGATATGTATTTAGTTTTAGAAAAAAAAAAGTATAGGGCTAACTTTTCACGACCTCATTTTAAGAGAGCTAGTAAGTTCCACAAGAAATCAGCACGACTAGGAGCAGAAAATGTCTTGATGCTGCCTGGAGTGTATCCAGTCCATAATGCAGAATATCTGCAGTAGGCAATAACCGTTCTCTTTAACAGAGGACATAGAACCTAATTTTTTCACTGCAGCCCCCCTCCCCCATTTTGTATAAAGGCTTTAATAAAAAGATACATTGGCGACAATGTCGGATTTACTCCGCCTTTTTACATATTTTTCACTTATTGGTTGTTTCAGTCCACTTACAAATGAGTACTTAAAAACGAAAGCAAGCAGCTCCCTGCTGTTTTTGGACTTACAGCACAGCTACGTTAGTCCTGGTTATTTTTAAATTTGAAATTAATTTGACAGAAATAGATACCGTCCAAACCCTTACTGCAATCTATCAATCAACAAATACACCGCTATCTATGTAACAACCTTCCATTTGAAAAAAATCCTCCAAGATTCGGAGAGTACCTTTACATATTTTATAATGTATGCCAGTGTACAAACTATGTGTTCTTGTATATAGTGTGTGGAGGGTGGGGTGAAGGTAAATAGGGTAGTAGCATATTCACAATATTCATGCACACTGAAAGCAACACACACGAACACAGAGTTTTAATGTATATTTTGTGTATATTGAAAATAAGTGTATTTCTGCACACATACATACGCACTAATGCAAGTGACTACAATTTTGACTTGAGTGTACTTTTGCACTCCAGGTTTGAATGGATTTCTTCTTGCCCTAACCAGATGTTATGTATACTCACTAAAAGATACGAGTAATGTGTTTTAAACAAACAACATGGTATATAGTCACACATAAGACAATGTTCTCAGAATCACACACAAATACATTTGCAACCTATTTGGACCCTAAACATCTAATTACATGCGAGTAAATAACCGCATTTTTTGCCAAAGAAATGTTTTCATAAACAAAATATTTATAAGCACTAAAATCTGCGCAAAGTGTAACTCCACAGTATATTGTCATGCAGTATATTACACATGCAGTACAAACACATATCCAAGCACTATATATGCAAATGTCCTGGCCGTTTATTGGGTAATGCATAACAGAGTTATGAGGGAGAAACTATTTAGCTAGCTCGGTTTTGTGGAAAAAACGTAATTCTGTATCCCGCTGGTTTAATATCCGACCTCAACATTCAATC